GGCAAAACAGCAACTTTGTACGTGCACCACACTTTTTTCTGCATTTCTTTGCCGTTGTTGCACGACTACGACGTGAAAATGCCTAATTTCACGTAGCCTGCGTAGCAAGCGTTTCCTCGCGAGGTTCGTCTAGAAAGCTGGGACAAGAGCAAAAAAAAAATGAATGACGGGGGAGGGGGTGGGGAACGAAGGAACCGCTTGCCCGCAAACCCCACGATTTTGAAAAACTGCGTTCGCCCACGAACGCAGCTTCTGATTGGCGCGGTGCGGGTAGTGTTGATTACTTAGCATTCGAAACATCAATCAAACCAGGTATGCTTTGTTTTCGTGCGCCACAGATCTGGTCTCATCCGATTTGTGGTCGCAGATTACAAATGCTTTGGACTGATATTTATTGGAATCGTGTTTGTGCGAAGGTTTATGAGATCAGAGTCTTCAAAGTATAATTGGAGATCGAGCAGTGGAGACTAGGGAAGGCCAATTTATTGAGAATGACAGCGTGCGGATCTGACTGGAAAAAATGGACCGTTTGTTGGAGATAACATCAACATAAAACAGAACATCGGTACTCGACACTAGCTAAAGCCGTCATGGACAAGCGATTTGTCAGCTTTTTGAAATGAAAAGATTCTTTTTGTTTTATGGAAATTTAGCGGCATCTATTGTAGAGAACGTTTCGACACAGGCTGAAGAGCAGCCGCTCTGCAAAACTTATACCCGGCGGAGTGAATTACTCCGGACAAATCATTTTTGACGTGTCGACAAGGTTTCAGACGAGATAAAGCCACACAATAAAAAAACAAGAAATTCCGCAGCAATCGTAGCGGGGGAGAAATGAATGCGTGACAAACGAACCCCAAAGGACGTCGCGGGGAGGCTACAGCAATCGCTCATAGTTTTAACTTTCTTTTATCGTAAATCTTTTTTATTACAGTTTTTGCAATCGCCCGCAACGTGTTCTATTAGAGAACAAAGTAATTTTACAAATCTGGTAATCCAGAGGTAACCTGTTCGTTATGCTTCTATTTTGACGAGCTGTCAATTTACAAATGAACCGAACCGTGAAATATCAAGGGGCGTTTTCCAGAATCGTGGGGTTTGCGGGCAAGCGTTTCCTCTTCTCCCCTCCCCCTCCCCCTCCCCCTTCAACCTTTTTTTTTGCTTCCGCTCTAACTTTCAAGCAATAACTCGATTGGAAACGCTTGCTACGCAGGCTAAATTTCACGTTTTAAGGAGGACGTCAACACAAGACAACGACCTTCTTTTTCCTCAACTTCAATACAGTCCCTTAGAATTCAACTCCAGAAAAATTCGCTAATGTTTGGCCGATTGAACAAGATAGACTAAACCCAATAAAGTTTGAAGCAGCGCAAATTTACTTTTCAAGTGACGTTTTCGTAGCCGTTGCCGTCGTTTTTGCTTAAGCTCTCTAATAAGGCGAATGAGAACAGTTATTGGCGTAGTCACAGTAGAGACGGAGTTTCCGTCCGATTCGGGTTATACGTTGGATAATTCGCGTCAGACAGATAATATGTCTTAATTGTGGAAGGAAAATCTGCCTGAGTTTATCTATCTGTTTTTCCATCAATTTTGACTGATTTTGAACTTGGATTAGGATAATCCGTATTTATTTCTGCGTCTCAAATGATGAAAAAGTGATGCTACAGACATTGTCTTTACCATTCCTGCTACATTACCATAGACTTCTTCGGAAAGTAATACTGCAAGAAATTAGTCTGAAATTTTTTTGCTCAAAATATAACGCGAGTAAATGTTCAGCGTTTTGAAGCCTAAGATTTGCAATTCCCAGTATTGTCTAGCTTATGTCTGAAATATAATCGACAATCCATACATTTCTCAGTATTTTTTTTTTGAATGGCTGCATCTTACGCCAGGTTAAGACAAAACTTGGGAATTTTGGCAAAGCTCGGTGTGCTCTTTCTGACTATGTGGGTCTTAGGTTAATAACCCCCAAAACACAGGCTCGTACACAAATACCGCGCCCCTCGCTTTGAAACTGGGCAATGATGACAAACAAGCTTTGATCGTTATTATGACATTCCAAGTTACCATAACGACAATATGCCGTGTTAAAGAAAAGTTCAAGAATAAATAGATGACCGCTATTGGTTACTACTAAATGTAGCATATGACCATATGAAATGTACCCTAGTTTAGACCTGACCAAAAAAAATCTGAGATATATCGCACTTGTTATTTACACTTTCGCGTGTTTTTTGTTGTTGTTGTTGTTGTTTTTTGTTGTTTTTTTTTCTGATCTTTATACATTTTCTGTGTATAAGGCGACAAGGACTTTTCGTTTTTCTTTCGTCAGTGTTGGTTGTCGCTATAATAAAAACCATGCCGGTTCGTTAATATCCATCAATCTCTCCGGGATTGCATAGAGACTGAGTGGAAAGTTTGCTGTTGTTTCCCTAATATCCTCATAATGTTTATAGCTTTAAAGTCGTCTGGCGAGTTCAGGAGAGGTTGTCGTGTAAGAGCACGTTGAGCGACCGTCGATTCTAGCGCCGATCGCCAAATTGTCAATGCCGATCACAATGACATCGTTTTCGTTATGTTTCACAAAAAGCCCCATTCTACTAAATATTTTCTTCACCGCGTCTCGAAATTCTTTTTTTCGAATAAAACAGATGATTGGGTTACAAAGTGAGCTGACACAGAAAGGGCAATTTGATAGCAGCACCACCTGAGATGAAACTTTGATACGTGTCGCATATTGGCGACAAAAACGTACAACCCACAGGGGAAGAAAACAGATAAAAAACGCAGCGATAATAATGAAAACATCAAAGGATGCCTTCCGTTCTTTCTTCCTCCTTGTAAGCTCTTGTTGAATGCTTTGGGCAGAATCCTCGAGACTTCCCAGCTGGGCTTCTTGCGCCAGTGCGTTTTAAGAGTGGAATTGATTGCTTTGAGAGAAATTATTATTAAACTTTGGAGGTAAGAATGAATTTTTGCAAGAATACATAAATTGGCCCAGTTGAAGCAAATGGATATCATTAAATTTTAGTACACCGAGGTCCTTAAAGATGGGTTCAGTATGAGCATTGAAATGTGATTTATTAATAATTCTAGTAATGCGCTTTTGCAGGATAACAAGGCGGCGGGGATTGGTTTTATAGGTCGAAGCCCAAAAGATATTGCAGTAGTAAAAATAAGGATAAATTAAGGAATAGTAGAGCATACGTAAAGACGATTTAGGAAGAAAGAAGCTGCATCTAGATATTATACCGATTGACTTCGCAACTTTACTTGCAACGTGTGATATTTCCGCCTTCCAATTTAGGTTTTCATCCAAAATTACGCCTAGAAAATGTGTCTCCTTTACTTCAACAATATTTTGATTATCTATACTTATTTGAATATTACAAATTGAACGCTTTTGTCTTGGTTTAAAGACCATAAATTAATTTAGTCTTCTTAAGATTTAGAGAAAGCTTGTTTGCTTTAAACCAGATTGACAGTTTGTCCATCTCCAAGTTTAACATATCTGAGAGATAGTTCAGATCTTTATGTGACATGAATATATTGGTATTGTCAGCGAACAAGATCAGATTTAATAGATTAGAAGCATTGCTGATGTCGTTAATGTACAGCAAGAAAAATAGAGGTCCGAGGATAGAACCCTGAGGGATCCCAAAAGAGATTTCATTTCTTAACGAACGATGGCCATTATATTCAACATATTGCTTTCTGTTTGAAAAGTAACTTCTTATCCAGTCCAGCGCTAAGCCACGAATACCGTAATGTTCGAGTTTATCAAAAAGGATGATATGATTTACAGTGTCAAGGGCTTTTGAGAAAATTCACCTCGGTCAAAGGCCGTGGAGATCTTATCATGCAAGTTGATTAGCGCGAGTACAGTGGAATGATTTTTCCTGAAGCCGTATTGGTTACTACAGAGGATGTTGAAATTCATCAGACATAGCATTAAACGATTGTAGATAACTCTTTCAAAGAATTTTGAAAAGCTGGGAAGCACCGAGATAGGTCGGTAGTTGGTGAAAAGCGACTGATCATCAGATTTAAAAATAGGTATCACGCGAGCGATTTTCATTTCATCGGGAACAATACCATGCTGGATTGACAAGTTTATGATATGGGGGAGTGGTTCAGAAACAAGTAGAATGGACTCCTTAATGACTGTCATTGGAATCTGGTCGTAGCCAGCTGCTTTGCCTTGAAGATAATTTTTCGCAATCTCAGCGATCTCACCTTGAGTTATACGGTTGAAGAATATTGACTGTGTAAAGGAACCATTAAGAAAACTACGGTGTGAAGCTGACGACTGTATACCCCTTGCTAAATTAGGACCGATGCTTGAAAAATAACTACAAAACTTGTTGGCAATTTCGACAAGATCAGTAATTTCACGATCATCAGCTTTAAATGTTGAGCATCTATTGGAATTTCTTTTGCTTCTGTTTAGAATTTCATTTAAAACTTTGCAAGTAGCACGAGTATTAGATTGAACGTTATTCAATTTCTTCTCGTAGTATAGACGTTTTGCTGTCCGCAGAGAATGATTTAATTTGTTTTTATAACTTTTGAAAATTGATTGACGATCCATTGTTGGATTTCGCAGATATTTTTTATAAAGCCTATTTTTCTTCTTAATACACTTGATAAGCGCATTGGATAACCACGGCTTATTTAAACGGGACTGTTTTCTGGTTAATTTTTTTTACAGGGAAGCACACATTATAACTTTCAGAATACTTCTTTATAAAGCTATTATATGCGCTTTTGGGGTCATGATAACCATTAAGGGAGGACCAGGTAATTTCTTTTAGCGTTTCGAGAAAACTCGCTAAGTTTTCTTTGTTATTGTCTCGAATGACCACTGGGTCATGAGCGTGGCTGTTGGAAGAGTCATTATTTGAATGAATCGAAAAAACAGGTAAGTGATCAGAGATATCGGTAATCAATAAACCACTTCTCAAGTGATCAAAAAATGTGTTTGCGAAAATGTTATCTAGCAATGTTGCGGTGTGAGAAGTTATTCGGGTGGGACGTGTTATCATGGGGAAAAACATATACGAGTGCAAGCCATCAAGGAATTCGCCAGTGTTTTGGTGATGTTGAAAGTTAATTAAATTCAAATTGAAATCACTCATAATAAAACATATTTTGTTCTCTCTAGAGATTTTCGCTAACAGATCATTGTGTTTTGACACAAAGTCACCACCTCTCTGATTAGGTGGCCTGTAAATAACACCACCGATAATATTTTTCCCAAGGGGTCTTGATATTTCAGTAAACAAAGATTCTGCAACATCAATATCGTCAAAACTCAAGTCAGCGCGAAATTTAAAATCGAAATTTGTCAGAAATATATAATCCAACACCACCACCAGTTCTATTTGGGCGATGTTTGTGGACAAAATTGAAACCATCTATGTCTACTGAATGGGAATAATCGTGTACCCAAGTCTCAGAAACGCCAATTAAAGCTAGAGAACTTAATATTCAAGCATGTCAAAAGAATAGAAAGACTGTTTAGATTACGTTGAAGATTACGAATCTTTAAGTGTAGGAGCGAAAAATCTTCATCACATAAATTATCATTTCTTAACATTTCGTTAAATTTGTCTTCAATGTAGTAATCACAGTGGACGTTGTCTGTGCAGAAATTAACATCAAGATCTATATCGTCAGAACGAGTTAGGGAAATATTGTGACTTGAAAATAAAGGATCGTAATTTAGGCTGGAAAGTCTTTCAGGATCATAACGACTGGGCCATGTTGAAGTTCGTAAATTGCAAGGTTGAAACTATAATCGTCTAAAGCATTAAAAGGTTAAGTGTGATCAGGAATCGAAGCCATGGCTGATAAATAATAAACAAACATATAAATACGTACTATAAATAATCTGTCTTTAATAACCAGCCTGTTTTAAACGAAATAGGCTATTTTCCCGTTTCTTCTCGCTTCTTCAAACTTAGGACGCTGCTCTTCCCTCTTGTCAAGAGTTTCTTGTGCCAGGTCTTCATTAATAAAAATTCCAGGGGGCTTGATTCTCCTTGCACTTCTGATGATCTGTTCTTTTTGCTTCCAATCGCGACAAACGATGGTCCTTAGACGTCTTACGGAGCCAGTTGTAGCATTTGCTCTTCTGCCGACTCGATGAGCCCGCTCGATATCCGGTTCTTCATCGAGGTTAAGCTTCTCTTTGAGTATCTCCTTTACTTTGGTTTCGGTGTTGTTCCAGGTTTCTGCTTCTTCCTCTCGAATGCCGTCTATTCGAATTTTATTCCTTCTACTTTGGTTCTCCAGATATTCGATCTTATGAGTGTGGTAATCGAGAGAACCACACATCTTTTCAATCTCTTCTTCGACCTCATGCAGTCGGGATGAGCATGGTTTCAAGTCCTTGATATCTTTCTGAGAGAACTCAAGGCTCACCTTCAAGTTGCTAGAGTCTTTCTCGAAAGTATCTAGTCTAGCTTTCATTTCTGCGACTTGGCCGATGACGGAATCTAGCCGTGCGTTTACGTTGGCCAACAGTGAGTCGAATAAATTCTTAAACATTCTTTCTGGCACTTTCAACAACTCCCTCAGTGTCGCCATCGTGACAAGTTCAGATCCCGTGGAATCAGCTCCTTGAGTGCTAGCAGCCTTCGTGGTACGAGTTTCAGGCATAGTTAATTTAGTTATAGTCGTAAATGGCAAATAGCGATAACAAAAATTGAGTGGAAAACAAGATTCACTAAGAAATTAAAGCAATTATCGCGGAGTAAAGAAAGTACGACCGTACGCCACTCTCTAGCTTAAGCATCGATGACGGCGACGGCAACGGCAACGAGAACGGCAAAAAAGCAATATGATTAGATTTGCAACTTTGCACGTGCATCACACTTTTTTGTACAGTTCTTTGCCGTCGTTGCACGACTACGACGTGAAAATGCCTAATTTCTCGTTTTGAGTAAGACGTCAACACAATCGACGACTTTCTTTTTCTTTTCCTCAACTTCGATACAGTCCTTAAGAATTCAACTCCAGAAAAATTCGCCAACGTTTGAGAGGATTGAACAAGATGGAATAAAACAGATAAAGTTTGAAGCAGCACAAATTTACTTTTCAAGTGATGTTTTCGTAGCCGTCGCCGTCGTTTTTGCTTAAGCTCTCTAATAAGGCGAATGAGAACAGTTATTGGCCGTAGTCACAGTAGAGACGGATTTTTCGTCTGATTCGGGTTATCCGTTGGATAATTCGCGTCAGACAGATAATACGTCTTAGTTGTGGAAGGAAAATCCGCCTGACTTTATCCATCTGTTTTTCCATCAATTTTGACTGATTTTGAGGTTGGATTAGGATAATCCGTCTCCAGTGTGAAAACGACCATTACAGAAAGAAAACATAAATGCAAAACAACTAATTGCATATCGATTTATTTCTGGGTCTCACATGATGAAAAAGTGATGCTACAGACATTGTCTTTACCATTTCTGCTACATTAGCATATTTCGGAGACTCCTTCCGAAAGTAATACTGCAAGAAATTAGTCTGGATTTTTTCTGCCGAAAATATAAGCTCGGTGTCCTCTTTCTGACTATGTGGGTCTTAGGTTAATAATCGAAAAAAAACACAGGCTCGTACACACACACCGCGCCCCTCGTTTTGAAGCTGGGCAATCTTAGATCGTTATTATGACATTCCAAGTTACCATAACGACGATATGGCGTGTTAAGGTGGCTCGATACAGTTTTCCTGGGCCAATACCTCCCAAGTTTGAGCATAAACTACGTCGCCATAAACAAAGTTTTGAAAAAATTGCCACCACAGTTGTACTAGATAAAGATGCAAATTTGTTGTGAACAAGGTTGCAATGACATCGGAGTCGTCATAGCAACGAAATGACGCTATTACCTATTACCTATTACCTATTTACAGCAGTATATCTTACTGGCAACTGTTCTTCCAAAATCATTCACGGAAGCTTTTTCCTCCAATAGCCGCCTCGATGTTCGTGAAGTTTAAGCGAAATCTGTAAGAGCGTTATCGAGATATTTTGGGATAAAGATTTTGTGGTTAGAAATACGGTAAAAAATGGACAATCTCTATGTTCGGCTGTTACCTGTAGAAAACGAAGCGCTTTTGACATGCAATTTCAGCTCATAGTAGTTTCAATCTTTTTAAAAACGTGTGTGAAAGATCATGGAGAAAGCTCCAACCGATTGCTAGAAAGAAAGATTTGATTAGTATGTATCTAGGCGCTCTTGTTTGTTTGAATATTTTGGTCTACTTTAACAAATTGACAAATACTTTTTAAACCGCACCATAGATTTTTTTAAAAAATTTAAGATTCTTGAGATTAACCTTCCCTTTATGTGACCTTTAGTTTCAAGATCATTGATATATTGTAAGGCAGTAAAATAAGGGCTACAATTCGCCACCATTTTGGCTCAAATTTTGTGTTTACATGTGTGAGCCTCTCATTATTCAGGGTATTGTCTCCACGTTTCATATTTTCGTGCACAACAATAGCTAGCATTTTTGCATATGTCAAATGCATTGTTAGTTACTGCTGATTACGTGAAAATGGAACTTGGAGACAATGCCTTGAATAATGAGAGGCTTTCTCTTGTAATGACGAAACTTCCGATAAAAAAATAGCGAATTGTAGCCGTTATTTTACTGCCTTACAATACATCAATAATCTTGAAACTAAAAGGGCATATAAAAGGAAGGTTTATCTCAAGAATCTTAAATTTTTTAAAAAGTGTATCGAGCGGTTTAAAAATTATTTGCTAATTTGATGAAGAAGACCAAAATGTTTAGAAAACCGCTAACAAGAGTGCTTCGATACATACTAATTAAACCCTTCTTTCTAGCAATCGGTTGGAGCTATCTAAATGATCTTTCAAAAACGTTTTTAAAAAGACTGAAACTACTCTGAGGTGAAATTGCATGACAAAAGGGCTTCATTTTTTACAGATAACGGCCAAAGAACAATATTGTCCATTTTTTACTGTGTTTCTAACCATAACAAAATCGTCCCAAAATATCTCGATAACGCTCTTACAGATTTCGCTTAAACTTCACGAACATCGAGGCGGCTTTGGAGGAAAAGCTCCCTTGAATGATTTTGGAAGAACAGTTCCCTGTGCCGAAATATACTGCTGCAAGTAAAAAAGGTAATAGCGTCTTTTCGTTGCTATGACAACTCCGATACCGTTGCAACCCTGATCATAACAAATTTTCATCTTTATCTAATACAACTGTGGTGATAATTTTTCCAAAACTTTGTTTATGGCGACGTAGTTTATGCTCAAACTTGAGAGCTATTGACCCTGAAAAACTGTATCGAGCGACCTTAAAGAAAAGTTCATGCCGAATAACTAGATGACCCCTATTGGTACTAGTAAATGTAGTGTATGACCATATACTATGTACCCTTATTCAGGCCCGACCAAAAAAAAATCCGAGACATATCACACTTGTTATTTACATTTTCGCGTGTTTTATTTTCTGTTCATTATACATTTTCTGTGTCTAAAACGACAAGGATTTTTCGTTTTTCTTTCGTCGGTGTTGGTTCTCACTATAATAAAAACCATGAAGGTTTGTTAATATCCATCAATCTCCGGGATTGCATAGAGACTTGGTGGAAAGTTTGTTGTTGTTTCCCTACTATCCTCATAATGTTTATAGCTTTGAAGTCGTGTGGCGAGTTCAGGAGAGGTTGTCGTGTAAGAGCACGTTGAGCCGCGACCGTCGATTCTGCCGCCGATCGCCAAATTGTTAATGCCGATCGCAATGACATCGTTTTCGTTATGTTTCACAAAAAGCCCCATTCTACTAAACATTTTCTTTACTGCGTCTCGAAATTCTTTTTTTCGAATGGAATAGATGATTGGGTTACAAAGTGAGCTGACAAAGAAAAGGCCGTTTGATAGCAGCACCATTTGAGATGAAACTTTGATACGTGACGCATATTGGCGACAAAAACTTACAACCCACAGGGGAAGAAAACAGATTAAAAACGCAGCGATAATAATGAAAACATCAAAGGATGCCCTCCGTTCTTTCTTCCTCCTTGCGAGCTCTTGTTGAATGTTTAGAACAGAATCATCGAGACTTCCCAGTTGGGCCTCTTGCGCCAGGGCGTTTATCTGCCTCTTCGCTGTCTTGCAAACCGACCAGTTGAGAAAAAGGATTGCCACAAATGGCCCAAGGAGGGTGATGACGGTAAAAAACACTTTTCTGGTTTTTAGAACGTCGCTCCTTAGAACCCATCCATTTTCACAGAAATACACTTCTGGGTTGTATACGAACATACCATATCCAAGGAATGGTCCTATGGACAGTGGAATTGGGATGAGCCATATGAGGAGCACTAACAACATCTTGGGAGAAGTCACAGTGCCATCGTACGTTAACGGGGATTTAACGA